CTTTAAGTAGATTCCTTACTTTATTTAGCACATGTGCATTTGACATTTTGCAATATGCTGTGTGGTAATGCTCCACACCTACTTGCCACAAATATTCATGGCTTTCCGAATGTAAGTGCTGGCAAATAGTTGTTTTCAGTTACCCAGAAACGGTTGCCTTTGAAAGGCTCATCCTGAACGCAGTCTGCAGCCAGTATCTGTCAGTTTCACAGAATGATTAATCCTAAATATTTAGTATCATAAGACATGGGGGAAAAAAGCAAGTACACTTTTTTCTTAGTTCATGTATCATAATAAAGTTAATACACTTTTAAAATACTTTTGGAAGTCTGGACTACCATTTTTCACTCTGTTTTTCATAGAGAAGCAAATAGATAATGATCAAATACTGAGTCCTCTACATAGCTCTATCTGTGACCACCAATGAAAGGTTCATCAACCAAAATATGACTAAACAATGTATTGAATTTACATTTATTCTTAAACAAACTCCAGTATCTTCTTTTACTAGTTGTTGTTTACTAGTTTGCTGTCTACTGCTTACCTAACAGACCCCTCTATGCCCAGAGGGATGTTGGAGCAACATTCGATATCCTCAAAGACTCTGAGACAGTATGCCTCAAAGGTCTTTACCACCCCAGGTCACTGTTGCCTTTATAAGGCGTTTGAAAGTGAAGGTTGAGAAAGACTCAAAAATAACACTGAAGTGTTATTTTGCTTCCAAAAAGAACATTTAGAAATTACACACTAAAATATTGAGTTATGCTGGAGATAACAATGAAGAAAGTTTCAAGGATGAAAGAAATTTTCTCATGACAAAGGAACAAAAGAAGACACACTCATACATAAACTTGTATATCATTCTTTTACTGCTCACTGGAAGAGAAGAGTGAACTAAGCTAACATAATAGTTCCTTGGAGTGAAAGCTGTAAGTAAAGTGATAGTATTTTTCCAAGTGACATATTTCCGAGCACGAGAAGAAGTTGAGCCCTCTGGGCTGACTCACTCAAAGTAGTGAGTTCTTAGACTACAAATATCCAGCTACTCCAAGACTATGTTCATACTCTGCATCCACATGGGGAGCTGAACGAGAAGGCTAGAGATTTGCGCTGGGTTAATTAAGGACATGGAGGTCTGGAACTGCGGATATAATCAAGTAGGCTTTGTAGTCTGCAGTCTGATAAAGGTGAGTTTGAGTCTCAGCCCCACCCCTTATTAATGAAGTGACCTTAGAATGTTACTCGCAGTAGATGCTCTCATACGTCCTCCTCCAGAAATGAACTCACTCTACTGCCCCAGCTTCTGGAAATACTACTTGCAGCTCTTTATCCTTTTCAGAAATTGTGTCACCTGAAGAGGGCCTCCCCACTCAGGGTCATACTTCCATTCCAGGAGACTGCCATGCAACAACCGATCCCTTTATATCCCTTGAGTGTAATAAGTGCTACACACACTTATTACACTCAAGGGATATAAAGGTCCAGACCCTCGGCCCCTACTCAGAACAACTGTAGGGCATTCCCGACCTCAGTGCTCCTTGAAGGGTCACCTGAAGACTTTCTCAAGTCACCTGACACTCAAGGGATATAAAGGTCCAGACCCTCGGCCCCTACTCAGAACAACTGTAGGGCATTCTCGACCTCAGTGCTCCTTGAAGGGTCACCTGAAGACTTTCTCAAGACTTCATCACAGCCCAACTTTTTCCCTTTCCCAATCTTGCTCCCTTCATTCCCTGTCTCTTCCTCTCCACTGGCATTGATCCTAAAAGCACTCTCTCATAAGCTTCTATCTTTGCTCTGCTTCCCAGGAAACCCAATGTGTGACATTACTTAACCTCTAAGCTTTAATGTGTGTTAATGTGCAGATTCTGATTTAGTAGGTCTGGGTCAAGTCTGAGATTCTATGTTTCTGGCAAGCTCCCAGGTGGTGTCAATGCTGCTGGTCTGTAGAATACATTTTGAGTAGCAGGAATATGAAGTAGTAAATCAAACAATATATATAAAGTACATAGCAGAGTGCCAACAGTGTGCTTGTGTGTGCGCCATAAATTTATTTATTTATTATATATGAGGGTACTTCAAAAAGTTCATAGAAAGATTTGCATTATCTTTTAATTCTATTTTTCCAGAAACTTTTCAGAGTACCCTCATATTTATTCATTCTGTCAAATAAGTAGAGACAATACAATAAAGTGGACACAGGGAGACTAAACCAAAATGTGTGGGATGTTTATTTGCAAAACATGTCCTAAAGAAAAAGAAAATGAAGACTTTCATCCTATCCTAACTCTGTAGTTCATGTTCTAGCCAAGTAATCACTGTTCACTCCTTGACCAAGGTATGCCCTATCCTCAGCAAAAGTTACTAGTCCAATCCCTCCACTTCTAAATTTCTTTTGAGTCCATCCCCTCTTCATCCTCACTTTGCTGCCTTAGCTACTAAACAACTAAATAGCCAAAGTTCGCTGAAGTTATTTTTTTCTAAGCACAAATTTGATCGTGTTATTATTCCCCTACTTACAAGCTTATAGCTTTCCTTCTCCGTTAAGACAGAGTTCACATCTCCTCACATGACATGTCAAGCCTTTTGACAGCAGCTGTCTTCTTCCTATAATCCCAACTTTATCACTATATTCCATCACTTTGAATTTCTCACTCTTCCTCAAACATGCCCTGCCTTTTCGTACCTCTCTGTGAATGTGCATACTGTCCTCCCTCCCAGGTACAGGTTCTTCTTTCTTGACAAGCAGTGTCTTCCAAGCAATTTGCAGCCCTTCTGCTGTTCTACAGCATTCCCTACATGCACATGTCGTGGAGTATTATAATTATTTGTTTATTTGAAGTTGCCTTCTCTACTGTGAACTCCTTAAGAATAAAGACTTTGTCTTCATCATGAAAATTTCTCTCCATACTTAGCTCTCTTATTCTTGATTGTTCTCCAATACGTAACATAAGTACTAGTACATAGTAGATCCTCAGAAAGAACTGTCAAATGAACAAAACATTAAATCTGATTAGTAGGATAAAGACCAAATCACAATTTAAAACCTTTCTTATGCATTTGAAATTTTAATGATCAACATGTCAACATGCAATGTTTCAGTGGAAGCTTTACTTAGTTATTTTATTTAGTGGCAACTTTGAGATTGTTCTATTTTCTCTTAACTGCTACATTGAGATATAATTAACATAACATATACAATTCAGTGGTTTTTAGAATACTCTTTTGCAACCATCACAATCTAATTTTAGAACATTTTCATCACCCCATAAGAAACCCTGAACACATTAGCATTCACGACCATACTCTCCCACCCCCACCACAGTCCCTAGCAACCCTATTCTACTTTCTATCTGTACAGATTTGCCTATTCTGGAAAGTTCATATAAATGCAACCATACAAAGTGTGGTCTTTTGTGACTGGCTTCTTTCCATTTGGATAGTTTTCAAGGTCCATCCATTTTGTAGAATGTATTATTGCCAAATAATATTCCATTGTACAGATATACTACATTGTGTTTATCCCTTCGTCATGGATAGACATTTGGGTTGTTACCACTTTTTGGCTACTGCGAATAATGCAGCTGTGACCGTTTGTGTAGAGTTTTGTGTGAACATATGTTTTTATTCTTTGGTATATACCTGGAGATTGCTGGGTGACATGGAAACCATGTTTAACATTTTGAGTAATTGCCAAACTTTTCCAAAGTCACTATACCAGTTTACATTTCTACTAGCAATGTATGAAGGTTATGATTTCTCCACATTCTTGCCAACACTTGTTACTGTTGTGGTTGCTTTTAAAATTACTTTTACAGTGTTGTGACTTTTACAATTTAAAATGTCTTGTGAAAGATTCTCATCTAACCTTGAGTTTATGCAATGTCATCAAGTCTATAGGGAAGTTAAAGATGTTGGTATACCTGGATATGTCAAAAAACAGAATAGAAACGGTTGACATGGAAATTTCTGGATGTGAAGCTCTGGAGGACCTCTTACTATCATCTAATATGTTGCAGCAGTTGCCTGACTCTATAGGTGAGAATATAATATTTTATCATGAATATTTATGTTAAATGTACCATTTTCTTTTTTGGCAGTATACTTTGTCTATAGATATATGAAATATACTATTAGCCTGATATTAATAAAATAGCAAATTTTAAATGTACCATTTTCTTTTTTGGCAGTATACTTTGTCTATAGATATATGAAATATACTATCAGCCTGATATTAATAAAATAGCAAATTTGGCCCAGCCCGGTGGCGCACTGCTACAGTGCGCCGCTTGGGAGCACGGCGGCACTCCTGCCAAGGGTTCGGATCCCACATACAGACTGGTTCCCGCTCACTGGCTGAGCAAGGTGCGGGTGCGACGCCGAGGGTTGCGAACCCGTTGCCGGTCCCGGTCCGGTACGGGCGCGACACTGAGGGTTGCGATCCGTTGCCGGACACAAAAAAAGACAAAAAAGAAAAAAATAAATAAATAAATAAGTAAAATAAAATAGCAAATTCACTATGCAAGATCATAAAATAATATTTTACAAATATCTTAAAATGACATGTTAACTCTAGTAAGGTTCTTCTGTCTAAATGATCCTACTAAATTGATATATTTTAAAATTTTTTAGATCTCCTAAGTTATAAAATGTTATTGTAAGGAGTAGATATCTTAGATTGAGAGTATTTTGATAACTATGTATGTCTTTTTATATTACTAGAATTACAGTAGCTTGTATCCACAGGATGTTACTATATTCTATTTTTAATATTGTTGTAACAATTCTATAATGTAGGAATAACATAAAATTGTTCAACTATAAAATGCCTTCTTAGTTCTATTATTTAAAAAAGACACATTATCTTTAACATGTTACAATTCATGATGGTAGATAATTTGTGAGTATATAGTAAGCACTCAATTCATTTTTGTTTAAACACTTTTATGTGAGTAAGATAATAAAAGAGTAATTTAGATAATGAGCAAACTTTTGTATAAAAATCTTTCTGTCTATATTTATAAGAGGACTCATCAAATTACTTAACTTTGGAACATAGATTTTTAACTTCTTTGAAACAGATGTATTATATGTACTAATAATGCCTCTACAAATTAAGTTACAACCTAAATAGCCCAGTTGAAAGGAAGCTTGAAGACAGGGCAGAATCCCAAATTTTCTTCAATATTTTATTACTTCCATTTGTTTTTCCATTTTTCAGGTTGATAGCATTAGTTTTAACAAAATCGCAATCTAGCTTTTTTTCCTTTCTAGATTTGCTGACTTTGATTTTTTGATTTACATAATCACATCTTTTACAACAGTAACTCTCCAACTTGCTTAATCATAAGTCTTAACTGAGAGCTTTATTAAACACTTCCACATTTCCAGGCTTTTTCTCTGAAAATTCTGATCCAATAAGTCTGTGGCAGACCCTCTGATCTGTATTTTTATTAAACATCCTAGATGAAACTTGTGATCAAACAAGTTTAGGAAATAACTAGTATATGTTGTAACAGGTAAGGTAGTATAATGGCTAAAAAAGAATATCCTCTTGTCAAGATGACAGAGTGACTTGATACATAACCTTACACCCCTGCACAACCACCACTTCATACCACTTCAAATACGTAATGAGGATAGAAAAACTACATATATTCAAAGAGAATATCTTTGCTCATTGATGCCTCCTCAGTGCCAAGAACTAAGCCTGGCATATGATAGGACCCCTGCACAACCACCACTTCATACCACTTCAAATACGTAATGAGGATAGAAAAACTACATGTATTCAAAGAGAATATCTTTGCTCATTGATGCCTCCTCAGTGCCAAGAACTAAGCCTGGCATATGATAGGTGCTCCTTGAATACTCAATAAATAAAAGAATTTAGCCATGCTTAAGAAAAATGAACATCTATCTGAACCTGAGCTAGAACAGAAACATAGCAGTGCCCCCAACCCTGCTGGGCTCTGGACCACAAACAGCAGCCATGAGTTCAGTCCCTGAAATAAAGTAAAAAATAGAAAAACCTTCAGTGTAACAGAGAAATTAGAGCAGATGAAGTAAAAATAAAATTTTTAAAATCGTAGGAATAAAAAACAAAATAAGATGATAAAAATAAATTCAAATTATTTGTCATAAATTATAACAGGTGTAATAGATTTAGTGGATTAAACTTATTTTATTAAAACACCCAGAATTTTACACTGAATATTTTTAAGTTAAGCTTTATTCTGGTTATGAAACACATCTAAAACAAAACAGAAAAATTTTTAAAATGTGGTAGAAAATGAAGCATTACTATTAGCATAATATAATTATTTTTAAAAAATATCTTCCTTTAAGAAAGCAGGCTGGGAAATTAGCCTACTGGTGTGCGGAAGGCAGCATGTGTACGTAACAGAGAATACCTGGCTAGATATTGGGCTACATAAAACAGAGTAGGACAGGCAGGTAGTAGAATATATTTTCCACCTTGTTTTAGGATCTAAATGGTTCTCGAATGAAGAAAGTAACTCTGTTAGAGTAGTTTACTCATCGAACTATTTTTAGACCTTATTGACCTTTCATGTAAAATTGTATTTATACATCTGCAGAGTTGCCACAGCTTGTTATTACAGGTGTAGAATGGCTGGCTTTCTTCAGAGAATACCCTCCTTGGTCAAGAGAAATGTCTGGGATAGGAAACTGAGAGCTCTGCTCAAAGGCCCTAGAATAATTCATTGATGCTAATTGGACAGTAAATTGCATCTTGTCTTCCTTCTTTGAGCATGGATTATCTATCAGACTACCAACATCTAAGAATAAAAGATACAAAATTTCATAGCATTAACAGAGGGAAGTAGCAAGTAAAATAAAATCGTGCTTTTTTTTTTTACCCTATTTGAGTTCCTCTGCAGCTGTGGGGTATTTGAATGGATTGATAAACTCCACAACAAGCCTTGTGTGCTGAATCCCTTTCTTTGCACAGGTTCCAGGGAAAATGAAGAGGACTCTTCTTTTTCTAGATAGTTTTAATAATCAGCTTTGGGGGATAACAGAGAAACTCAGTAAAGGAGAATACAATGTTTAACTTTCCAAAATAATTTATCTTACTCATTTAGTGGTTAAGGACACAGTCTCTGTAGTCAGATTACCCAAATTCAGATTCTGGCTTTTCTACCTTACCAGCTATGTGACCTTAGACAAGTTACTTGATCTCTCTGAACTACAGTTTCATCATCTATTAAGTGGGAGTCATAATAGTACCTGTATCATTGGATTATTTTGACGAATAAATTAATATATGTGAGATTGCTTAGAAAACTACCTGATGTATAGTAAGTGCTCAATCAGTGTTAACTATTATAATAATATAATAATTATTACAATCTTAGATTTGATGAGTGCACAGCTATTTGCTTTTTCAAAGTTCTATTACATATGTGTAAATGCCATGTAAATATTTGCTATTTTTAATGACAAATTATATTAATGTTTAATATATTGATGCTAATTATATGTTTATATATAAGTACCTAAAATTGTAAGAAAAGGCCTCCTTTTTCCTTCTCTCCAGTCCTGCTTAGTTGGAAGTACAGGATAGAGAGGTGGAGAATTGGGGAAGGGCCCAAGTGGAGAGAAGGAATAAGATAAAATACCTTTGATTCCTGTAGAGGAGAAGGGAGTCCAAGCAGGTGTGATACAGAAATGCAGTAAAGGAATTATCTGCCAGAAGACACGGGGAATGAGGGGGTGAGGCTGGTGGCCTAATTCCACTCCAGGGCAAATCAGATTCCCACAGAAGCTCCAGAATCTCTCCAAAGAGTATCCGTTTGGGTGGAATATGAGAAGCAAAATAGCCATATCAGAAATAAGTGCTGTTCCTTCAACTCCACAGACATGGAGCTAAGCAGGGAGGCCTAATTTCCTTCACCCTTTAAAGCTGTAGAAGCTCCTGTCAAGAGCCACTACTCCAATATTCAGAAAAATCTGTTGTGTTAATACTTTTGTCTCCAACCTGTTTCAAGATTTTTTCCCCATTACTTCAGACCTGGGGATCTTAAAGAGAGCTTTGCCACCTGGCTTCATGGTATCCACTCGGCCACCTGTAACCCAGCCCAATCAATTTATGTTGAGATTGTCAACCCTCCTTCAGCTCTACTGGTGGGCAGGGACAATAGTCTGATCAGGGCTACCAAGTCATAAAAAAATTTAGATGTAATTCATAGTCCCCTGTTTTCTTTCCACAACTGAAAAACAAGTAATGCATTCTTTTATATTTCCAAGGTTAGTATTTTAGCAAATACACTGGAGAAGCTAAAATGATTCAATAACCTTTGAACATAGATGAATATGACAGCAGGTGTTCAAATTTCAGCGACAAGTTGCTGCGATATGAATGTCCTCTTTCCCAGGTGCTGTTGTTTTCAAGCTGATGCATTAAGCTCCAAACGTTGTAGGTATTTTCTCCCAGCAGTCTGATAGTGATAACATGTCTCTACACCGGAGTAGAGATTCCGAGTGCTTTTTATGGAATATGTAATGGAGCATACTCAAATTCAAAGTGCAACAACAGCTTTACTTCACACTTTTTGCAACTTACTCTATGCCTTTAAGGAACCCTCAAAATACTTGAAAAGGAGGGGCATGATCTATAGTACTTGCAGTGGTTCTCAAAGTGTGTTTAGAAAACACTAACTTTACAAGGTACTTTGCTCACACACACGCACAAATTCCATAACTTTGGCATATCACATTGTTACATTAGTGTATTAAAAGCTCCTAGACAAATTTCATTAAATAAATTTAATGAATTTTAATTAAAATGAAATTTAATTTTAATTTGGCATTTCTCGAAACATACTTGGCCATGGAACTTACTGCATAACCGTCAGAACAACTTTGCTGCAGACCACAGTAATCTATAATGTATATGTGTAATTCCAATGTAAAACAAAAACTAACCAAACGTCAATGTGTTGTCCTTGGATTTTGGCTATTTAAGCTGTATTGATACTATAGGTTATGTTATGGTTGAGTAAGGAAGGTGACTATACCAAATGCAGCTCTTCTTCAATTATATTGTGGCTATTGCTCATTAAAACCCTGGGAGGAGAGCAAGCCATAGCAGTATGAAAAATATAAACCAGAGAGTGAAAGATAAATAGTTGTAACTTAATTCTTGGCCAGTTCTACTTGGTAAATTAATGATTGCAAGTTTTTGTGCTTACTGCTAATCCAAGTCAAGGATTTAGGTACCAAAAAGAGTATGAAGTCATATGTTGTGGTTTTCCAAGTTCACAATTACAACCTCTGCACCGTAATACCTCAGTATTCATTCATTTGTTACTAGGCTTAATTCAATTTTTTTTCAATTTGTATCACAACGAGAATGTTGGTTATTAGTGCTTAGAAGTTAATTATTCACAGCTGGCTTGGAAAATTTCAACCTATCCAGTTGCTGGAGAATAGAAAAGGGAAATGTAATAGTACATAATAGTGTCAACTCAGGTGACTATGGAGCCCTGTGTTTTGTGTATTTGTCTGCAGTGATATTCTTAAACTCCCACTGATGTAAGTGAATTTTTTTGCAACTAGCCGGTGAAAACTAGACTACACACCAAGTATCACAACAATGCCTTTTAAGGTGTATGCTGCATTTAATTGATAGCAATTTATTTCTAATTTTATATTTCTATTAACATTTGGTTCAAAGTTCTTTATGGGTTTATATAAGTAAAGTGCAGCCAATTTGCATTCCAAGGATTCCTTTCATTTAATTGATAGCAATTTATTTCTAATTTTATATTTCTATTAACATTTGGTTCAAAGTTCATTATGGGTTTATATAAGTAAAGTGCAGCCAATTTGCATTCCAAGGATTCATCACAAAGTGATTCCTTCCAAGGATTCCTTTTTTTTTTATATTGCATTTCTTGCCCTAAATTTGCTCTTATGTATTAGTAAACTTTCTTCTCTGTTTTAGGACTCTTGAAAAAACTAACTACTCTAAAAGTGGATGACAATCAACTTACGCTGCTACCCAATACAATCGGAAAGTAAGTGCCAATGACTCATATCAGTCAGCCTCTCTGAAGCCGAAGCCAGAAAGCTACCCAATACAATCGGAAAGTAAGTGCCAATGACTCATATCAGTCAGCCTCTCTGAAGCCAGAATTGAAAGGATATATTGAGTTTTCTACTTCAACACATTTTCTACTAAAAATACCAATAATCTTATTCATATGTCAGCTTAATATAGACAATATTTTATTTAGTTCTATATATTTTATATATCTTAATTTAACTTTATATCTGAACATTGCATCGACATTCAACTATATAATGTCATTTGAAATATTTAACCTTGAATCTTTCAGAAGCAAAATGATTACCTAGACCTTCAATTATACTCTTACCAGTATTTTCCAGATATTATTAGTTTGGTGTTTTTGACTGAGTAGCAGCTCTAAATTCACTGAGTCTTTTTTGCTAAACCAAATAAATTTTTATAAGACTCTGCAGTATGTATATTTTATCATTANGCTACCCAATACAATCGGAAAGTAAGTGCCAATGACTCATATCAGTCAGCCTCTCTGAAGCCGAAGCCAGAAATGAAAGGATATATTGAGTTTTCTACTTCAACACATTTTCTACTAAAAATACCAATAATCTTATTCATATGTCAGCTTAATATAGACAATATTTTATTTAGTTCTATATATTTTATATATCTTAATTTAACTTTATATCTGAACATTGCATCGACATTCAACTATATAATGTCATTTGAAATATTTAACCTTGAATCTTTCAGAAGCAAAATGATTACCTAGACCTTCAATTATACTCTTACCAGTATTTTCCAAATATTATTAGTTTGGTGTTTTTGACTGAGTAGCAGCTCTAAATTCACTTGAATCTTTTTTGCTAAACCAAATAAATTTTTATAAGACTCTGCAGTATGTATATTTTATCATTACACTATTAGTGATATTTGATATTTATAGAAGCTTAATGTATTTTTAGAGGCTGAAGAGAAAAGCATCTGCTTTAGCTAGAATTTTCTAAAACTTCAAGATGAAAATCCAACATTGCCTTTTAAGAATAAAATATGTTCCATCTATTTGATAGCAATTTATTTCTAATTTTATATTGCCATTAACATTTAGTTTGAATTCTTTAAGAAATATATTATTATTGTTTCACTGAAATGCTTTTGTTTATAGTTTGTGTAAAGTGACAAATCAATAGAAGCTGTCTTTATTCTGAAATTATGTAAGGCAAGTTTATCAGGATCTTGCCCCACATCTCAGTGTGAAGAATTATATAAATCCTTAATTTAACAGATTTGGATATACTCAGGAGGGGAAAGCTTCACATTTCTTTTAAAAGCTTTATTGAGTATATTTGACATACCACACACTACACATATTTAAAGTCTATCATTTGATAAGTTTTGACACAGGTATACAACCTTGAAACCATCACTACCACAGTCAACATGGTAGCCATGCCCTTCACCTCTTCCCCCATCCCTCTCCCGACCTCCCCCGCCCTCCCCCATCCCCTGCTAGGTCAGTAAGTAACCACTGATCTGGAAAGCTTCACTTTTTAAAAAAAAATTTTATTTTATTTTGTCAATATACAATGTGGTTGATTATTGCGGCCAATTACCGAAACCTCCCTCCCTCCTTCCTCTCCCCACTCCCTCCCAACAATGTCCTTTCTGTTCACTTGTTGTATCAACTTCAAGGAATTGTAATTGTTGTGTCTTCTTCCCTTCCCCCTCTCCCCCAGGTTGTTTGTGTATTTATTTATTTATTCATGTTTAGCTCCCACAAATAAGTGAGAACATGTGATATTTCTCTTTCTGTGCCTGACTTGT